CACAAATTGAAGATTAAGGTATACTATTCAACCAAAAAGTTACTTTTTCGGGTTATATTGAAAATACCGTTGCTTCTGCGTTGAAAAGCTTAGGGTTCTTAATTCGTAATACTCGTTCTTTTACAAACTCTTAAAGCTTGGAGATCCTTACTTTTCTTTAGTTCGTTCCAGGCCAGAATATGCATCTCTTGTCTGGAACCTTATTTACAATATTCATAAAAGATCATTGGAAAATGTTCAGCGGCGATCTCTCAAGTACCTTTCTTTTAAAATAGATGAGCTGTATCCCATTCGAGGTATTGAAGAATCTCTGCTGCTTTCGAAAATAGAAGGGTAGTTTCCAGTGTTACATTTTTTTTATAAAATATTACATAACACTATTAATGTACTATTTTTAATAAATTAAATAAATTTTAATGTTCCCCAAACAGCCATTAGATGTCATAAAACATTTTATACAGCACGTATTTGAACGAACTTGGGAAGAAATTCACCTATAACGCTAATGTGCTCAAATTTTAATTAATTTTGTTCTGATTGGGATATTTATTTCGACCATTAGTTGTACTAATTTGTAGCTATTGTATTTAGGATTCTTTCTTTTCTTTTTTTTCTTGCTGTTGCTAAAATTATTTTCTTTCGAAATATTATGCTTAACATTTATTTCATGTATTTTGTTCTGTAAATGGATTAATTTGTTTGGCAATAAAATTATTTTTATTTTAATAAGCAAAATAATGTTTATTTTGGTGCATCTACCACCTTTAAAAGTTTGTCAGTATATTAACGAGAAATCCTATATAATTCCCAAAGAAAAATATTTTTGGAATAAATTCCGAATTCTATTTATTGATATTTGTTATTTTTTAGGTTCAATGACTCGAAACATGATGATCAGCTACACCAAGAATATCATTGATACTTAAAAAAATGGTACGTGATTAAGCAGATTTGATGCTATGTCACATTGTGGTGCGAAGACGTGGCTTGTATAAATTTGGGGTATCAGTTGATAGAAAACAGTACGCAAAAATAAATTTAAATCTGCAGATGCATCAGAGATAGCCATATTCCATACCACAATATGTCATGCGTGAACTCTATGAGATTTCATCGGCTAAGTATCATTCCTCTGTAATGTTTTGTATCATTAGGAACACGCAACATTGTAAACAATACCAGGGTTTTCTGACCTTTTCCCTAGGTCAGAGAGAATAAATGAATACTAAATAATGTATAGTAATAAAGATTGAAAATATATATACTTTTAAGAGTTTTATTATGTCAGCCATAGTTTTATACCAAAAATGAAAATAAACTGAAATTATACATTAAAAATACATTCATAAATTAACTATATTTATAACACTCATCGACTCTCTCCTGGCTAAAATATTACTTATCTATCTATTAGGCTCTGTTTCGCCTATTTTTTGCCTTTAGCCTCCTTCTGACACTTCCATTCGTTCTTATTCAGTGTAGTATCCATATAGTTTTCAGAATATCAAGTGTTATACCTATCTGATGCTTGGTCCTGCAAAGTTCATCTTCAGTACACCTGCTTATGTGACATCTATCTCGATGTCAAGTTTGATTGAACACCCGTTTCTTGCCTATTACTCTTATACTTAACCAGAACTAGCTTAGACTTGAACGCATATGTCTAATTCGGCCAAAACACAGCCTTGGTACACAAATATCTATTTTACCGCTGGTTTCATTACAAAAAACTGGAGTAAAGGGTAAAATTATCTCTTGTATAATACACTTGAGTATTAGCCTATATTATTTTTGATTGAAGACGTATACATTTAAAAATGTCGTTTACTTAAAAATAAACATTTAATTTTGATATTTTATTTAACTCGATCAAAACATTAAATTATTATTGTCCATTGCTTATACCGGACCTGTATGTACTGTAGTAGCCATGGAGTAGCTGACAGTGTTGCCGTCAGTTACCGCCACATATTCATTAGTGACATTAGCACATGACATTAGTGACATAGTTTTATAAATTCATCGTGATACAAATTTGTTGACATAAAGAGATAGAAATTTAAAGTGACGTCTTGTATTACTTCGAATGAAAAAAATCGATAATACAATTTTCTAACCTAAAAAAAATCGTGATTATATGTCAAACGAAATTGAACTTGGCCTTAAGAGCCGTAATCTCATACGTTTTACAAACAACGAATTTATTATCGTGACTGAAAAACTGCTGCGTGTTTTTAACTTAAAAATACACAAAATATATTGTTGATAATAATACAAAACACGTTACATAGGCTTACCATATTTCTAGGATATGAAACCGGGACACATTATGAATCGTAATAAAATAAATATTAATAATAATAATAGTGTAATACCAAGCTAACAAAACTGCATTTATTCTGCAAGCAAACTTAAATAGAAAAATAAACTTTATCTTAAATCGCTACAAACTAATACAAAATATAGTTTTTGTATTGCACTCACCACTCAAGAACACCTAATTATTTATATTTGAGGCCTGCCTTTCCAAAACGTTGTAAGTGCCATTTTTAAAATTTTACAGGAGAAGCAAAAAACTGATTTTTTCAGCTAGCTGTAACAATATTGCAATTCCCTACAATAAAGTTGAAGTTTATCTTATGTTTAACGTTTATTAAGGATGAAATCGGGTGAGCACGTATCGATAACCCAATAAAAAAAATCTGATGTGTCCAACACATGACTTTCCTATCTAGTTATTACATGCTTTTTCCGTTTATTGTGTACAACCTATTGCAGCATCTCTATAAATGTTTAGAGGATAAACTAAATATATATACATTGTCCACATACATCTACCGCGAAACATTTTTCTATAGATATTCATTGAAAATGAAAATACTGAAAAATTTAAATTTAGCACTTTTCCTACAATTTTTCCATTACGGTCCATTTAAAAAAAATCATGTATGAACAAATATTATAGAGATCGATATCGCAAACAACTTTTATTTCAACAATTTTCATAAAAATCAGAATTTTGCACATTTTGTCAAATTTCTCGAATACGGACCATTTCAGGAAATTTTTACATAAGACAAAAATTATAGATAATAATATTAGAAGTAACTTTTATTTGAACAATTTTCTTCTCCAAACATAAATAACAGATATATTCCATAAAATATATAAACGGCCTCCCATAAAGTACCCTCCCAGATGTTCCGACTTTGTCCAAAATCTAATCATTTCACGTCAGGCCGAAATAAAACTTAAGTTTAAAATTTATTGATTTTTTCTTTATTCGTTTTTGAGTTTTCTTCAAATTTCGAAATTTACACATTTTCTCAAATATCTCGAATAATTATAGAGAATTATATTACAAACAACTTTTGTTTGAACAATTTTTATAAAAAAAAATATTTTTTTACATTTTGTCAAATTTCTCGAATACGGACCATTTTAGGAAAATTTTGTAAATGACAAAAATTATAGATAATAAAATAAGAAGTAACTTTTATTTAAAAATTTTTCTTCCCCAAACGTAAATAACAGATATATTCCATAAAATATAAAAATGACCACCTATAAAGTACCCCCCCAGATGTTCCGACTCTGCCCAAAATCTAATCAGCTCATTAGACGCTGGAATAAAGCTTAAGTTTGAAATTTGGTGTTTTTCCGTGTATCGGTTCATGAGTTATGCGTTATACAGACACACACACACACACACACACACACACACACACACACACACACACACACACACACACACACACACACACACACACACACACACACACACACACACACACACACACACACACACACACACACACACACACACACACACACACACACACACACACACACACACACACACACACACACACACACACACACACACACACACACACACACACACACACACACACACACACACACACACACACACACACACACACACACACACACACACACACACACACACACACACACACACACACACACACACACACACACACACACACACACACACACACACACACACACACACACACACACACACACACACACACACACACACACACACACACACACACACACACACACACACACACACACACACACACACACACACACACACACACACACACACACACACACACACACACACACACACACACACACACACACACACACACACACACACACACACACACACACACACACACACACACACACACACACACACACACACACACACACACACACACACACACACACACACACACACACACACACACACACACACACACACACACACACACACACACACACACACACACACACACACACACACACACACACACACACACACACACACACACACACACACACACACACACACACACACACACACACACACACACACACACACACACACACACACACACACACACACACACACACACACACACACACACACACACACACACACACACACACACACACACACACACACACACACACACACACACACACACACACACACACACACACACACACACACACACACACACACACACACACACACACACACACACACACACACACACACACACACACACACACACACAGACACACAGACACACACACACACACACACACACACACACACACAGACATCATCGCGAAAATAGTCAAAACGGATTCAGGGGACCTCAAAACGTAAAAATCCGTCGAAAACTCGAGGTCGAAAAAAATCATGATTCCTATACTTTCCTTATATCTGTATACAGATAGGAAAGTAAAAAATCTAAAATCGCTTAGTTCCAAAACGTTGTAAGTCCTAATCTACGTTGCAAGTCAAAACGTTGTGAGTACAAAGAAAATCGCAGGTCTTATCTGATGTAATGTCATAATAAAACACTATTATTTTATAGAATAACATTGTAACTTTATTAATACACGTTTGGTACAATAAAAAACGAATATATCGAACAATACTCAGATGCAATCTAGCCCAGAAGCTGTGAATAGTATTCATATGCTTCATTTGTGAGGTAAGGAAGCATCGCTCTAATATGGGCTACTTTTTCTTCAGGAATACCATGCTTTGTAGGCTGTTCATTAACTTCAATTGTTGCAAAGTCGTCAATAGTTACTCCTTTTCGCAGAATATTAGTTTTTGTAGGAAACTGTAAGGCTCCATGCGACTTCCAGACTTCAGGTGTTCCAAACTGATCTCTCGACAATCTTATTTTCGCAGCTTCACTTATTTTAAGTTTTGTCATATTAAGGTTCTTTGCTACAGACCTCCAGTCGTGAAAACCATCAAAAACGGCTACAACGAAGAGATTTTTCTGTTTAGCTGTTGCAATCGTACGAACAACATCCTTAGGGACCGTACACTTTTTTTTATTTTCAATAATACCAAAGTCTCTGTCACATGCCAAGAATGTGTCCTTTTACAGAAAACTTGTGTATGATTTCGGTAAAAATTACTTTTGCCAACAATGTCAAATACATGGATAAAACTATATGGTTCTTGTTTTGCGCCCCGCAGTTATCCGACCACACTATTAGTTTTTTCTTATTCGTGGTAATTTGTTTTGTTAAGTAGCTATAAACACAATGCGCTACTTCCAAAGATCCACGTCCGCCAACAGTCTCAGGCAAAACGCACATGAACCCATTTTCAATGTCTGAATCATGAATTCCCAAATTGCAACACGCCAGTTGTCTGGAATAATACATTTCGGAATGTGTAAGCTGCGGCACATAAATTTGCTGTTGCATATCATACGCTATAACATAAAAATCGGAGTGTTTGGCATTTCTTACATCTGCTTGCATTGCTTTAGTAGCACACTCAACTTTTCTGTGATGAAAATCTAAGGCCATTTGAGCTTCTTTTTTCTTTTCATTATCACCTGTATTTCCTACTTTATTGGATAAAGAGTCACATGTGGAACAAGTGTCTATACGGGGCACTCTAAAGCTTATATTAAAGTCTGTTAAAAAACTTGGTTATACCATTGTCTGGAAAGTGGCTTCTGTGGCAATTCTTGACAGTATTTTTTCAGGAAAGTCCTATACATTTTGCTAACACTTAAATCTGGAGATAGGTATTTAGATTCCGTTTTACTTCGACTGTAATGGCTAATTTCTGACGGAAAAGAGGAAATATGCTCTCTGATTTTCTCTCCACTCTTGCATGTTCTGTGTAGTTCTAGATCCTCCTCTTTTGTCACTGTGGTCCATTGTTCCCGCCAAAAATTTTTCACATAAAATCTAAACTCTGCGAGGTGTTATTCCGAAAGTATTGCAAAATAGTTTTAGGCAAACTCTTATCTCAGATCCTCCGGGTAGTATTAGATAATAACGAAAGGTGTGCTGCCTTCTGCTTTGTCCTGGGTGATGTCTGCGTCTGCCAATATATTGAGGATAAACTAAACTCTGCAGATAAGCCTGTTGCTTGTCATATGAACACAAATCGTTAAAGTTTTCGAAAAGTCTAATCCTATATTCCAGCCTTAACGATGAGCAAGAGAGATTGCACTTGCAATTGATCTAAAATAAATTGTTACCATTAAAGAATTATTTATTTTAAGCTCATTCAAATTCAATTCAATTTATCTTACCTCAGTAGGTGGAACCTTTGCAGGAACTTGGCGACCACTAGAAGACATGTATTCTTGACCACTATTTCTCTTGAGACTTTTTACGTTTTTTTTTTCATTTTTCAGGAGAACGAACACGTTTTTTATCCCGCTTATCAACATTTGGTTAGGCCTCCGCCATGTTTCTAATCGTACTAAAGACTAAACGGTATATTTGCACGTCGTAACATCCGACGAGTGCGATGGCACTTGCAACATTCTGACTTTCGCGTCTACTTAATCACGTGATTTTTCACTGCGCACACAAAGTGCTTTGTGGGAGCGTAAAGCATGGCATTTAAAACATTAATAACATAAAAAGTACATTTGGAGCAAACTGGCACTTACAACGTTTTGGAAAGGCAGGCCTCATTTATGGTTTATCTTTGTAGTTTCATGTATATTTGTCCCAAGAATGAATTTTTCTTTAGAAAACATGATTGTTTATAATGTTATCGTAAAATTCTGTGCATGTCATGTTCAGGTTAATTTTGCATCTTAACAAAACTCTGACAATATTTTCATCCAAACGCCCGTGATCCATCTGATCAAATGTGTTTTATCATGGAGAAGTGGATGTCCCAGGTAGACAAAAGATAAATTCTATAATTTTCGACAAACTAGAAATCGCTATTTGTTCATTTTTAAAATGCTGGAAAAGCTGAATCCACTTTTCTTCAAAATTTATTGGATGTGCACTAGCATTCCAGTCATCTTGTTTAATTCTGAAGAATCTCTTTGCCAAGCTCAGTTCGTCGAAAAGGCTGTCCATGTTAATTTTTTTGAAGAGGATGAAAAAGTTGATTTATTTGTTCTGCGCTTGCTTCAAGTTCAGCCCACATAAGTTTTTGTTTTAGACATATCCAATCATAATGTTCCGCTCCACCGAAACTATTCTTCCACAAATCCAGATATTAAATGGCTCTTGTGTAAAATCCGCAAATCTCTTCATTGAACTCATTTATGTTCACTCTTAGATCGCCCTCTAATCTCTTGAGTATTTCCGATTTCTCCATATTAAGAATTGTCTGATTAAACAATTGCAATTGACCATGCACAAACCATCAGTACAATTCCCTTCGTTTGTCGTCAAAGAACTTTTTTATTGCAAGTGGGCATTGCTCTTGAGAGAGGTAGTACGATTTCAATCCATCAAAAATTTGCAATATTCCCTCAACCACTGGCAAAAGTGCAATTGAGTGACCCATACGGTATAAATGTAAAAATATTTCTAAATTTTTACGACAAGGCTTTCTAAATCAATTGGTAACACATCTGCAGCATTTTGTAAACAGTTGTGTACAATATGCGCCCCGCAACCTATTCCTACTATTTTTCGTCCGATTTCTCATTTTAAATGACTATACACGTTGTTATCTCTTCTTTTTACACCACCGAAGTTCGTACTACAGTTTTCTCTACAATAGCCAACGGTCTTTTGCGAAATATTAAATTTTCTAATAATTGCGGTCAAATGATCACTTAAAAGGACCCCGCAATAATCTTATAGAAATTGGGTTTCTGTCAAATTGTCTGAATTTTTGGTATGTTGTAGATTTTGTCATCCTGGACAAAAGTCTCCATGGGCACAAAGTGCTAAAATGAATATTTTGGCAGCTACGAAGCTGCCAAAGCTCCCCTAACCCGTTGCAAAACTATTCATTTTCAATACTATTTACAGATGTCAAAAGCATATTTTGATTATTCTAATATATAGGGTAATGTTTTTGAGGTCACTGGATTTAACCCTTATGTCAGATTAGACAAATTGACCATTGACAGCTGTCAATTCACGGTCAACGAGGAATATAAAAGTAAATATCCTCTTTTCACATTGAGAGTTTGGGTTTTTGAGGTCGTTGACAGTTGACAGCTGTCAACTGTCACTTTGTCCAATCTGACATGAGAATTGAATTCAGCGACCTCAAAAACTCAAACTGTCAATGTGAAAAGAGAATATTTACTTTTATATTCCTCGTTGACCGTGAATTGACAGCTGTCAACGGTTAATTTGTCCAATCTGACATGAGAATTGAATTCAGCGACCTCAAAAACCCAAACTCTTAATGTGAAAAGAGGATATTTACTTTTATATTCCTCGTTGACAGTCAATTGATAGCTGTCAACTGTCAATTTGTCCAATCTGACATGAGAATTGAATTCAGCGACCTCAAAAACCCAAACTCTCAATGTGAAAAGAGGATATTTACTTTTATATTCCTCGTTGACAGTGAATTGACAGCTGTCAATGGTCAATTTGTCCAATCTGACATGAGGGTTGAATCCAGTGACCTCAAAAACATTACCCTATATATTAGAATAATTAAAATATGCTTTTGACATCTGTAAATAGTGTCGAAAATAAATAGTTTTGCAACGGGTCAGGGGAGCTTTGGCAGCTCCGTAGCTGCCAAAATATTCATTTTGGCACTTTGTGTCCATGGAGACTTTTGTTCAAGATGACAAAATCTACAACATATCAAAAATTCAGACAATTTGACAGAAACCCAATTTCCATAAGATTATTGCGGGGTCCTTTGGGACATTTCTCAAACAACTGACTAGAAGTCGAGAAGTTTGACGTGTACTCCCTAGTCTTGGACAAAATATCGTACAATAACAGGTGCAAGTTCCTTTTCTTCCTATTGGAAGTGTCTGTTATAATGGTAACAAAATTTGTCCTTTTTAAATGCACTTTTAATTCCTCTATGGCCATTAAAAATTATGGCCTCGCATTTGTCCTAGCCAAACAAACTTACGCTTAAAAAAAGTCGACAGTAATTTTGAGGTAGGTACAATCCGACTTTTTGAAACTTAAATCATGTTTGGCAGTATGGAGAGCGAATGTTGCTTCTTTTGCAGCTATTGCCAGCTCTGTGTCTCCTGCGCCATAATTTTTGAAAAATTGGGTGATTTTAGATGAATTTGCAGCAGCTTCCTCACTTGATCTATGCTTGGCAGTTATTAAATGATCATTTACATCGCTTCGGCCACCATGACTTACGGAAAACTTGGCTGTACACTTGTCGCATTTTACGCGATTTAAGGATCCAGCGACTTTTTTTAAAAATGGGAAGTCCCGTTGAAGTTCAGCGGTAAATGAGCAATTCCATGTTGGCATGTTCAGAAGCAAAATGCTGAAATACCGACTTGTATGTTAGAATAACTACTACAAATAAATTATTTATTGTTTCGGCCTTTACTTGATGAAAATCCATTTAATTTTGAAAGAGTAAAACCAAATTTGGTAGATTTTCACACTTTTATTTTAAAAATAAAAATTTTTTTTAAACAAAAATAATTCTACTTACTCAAATCATATTTTAGCTGAAAATCATTCTTTTACAGACAACTTTGAAATTTTACATGTAGAAAATAAGAGCCTTAAATTAAACCATTTAGAAACACTTGAAATAAATAGATTTAAAAATTCAGATAACTTACTAAATGATCAATTAGATATTAATAATTCACCCTTATTAAATCTCTTTCCCAGTTTTCTGTGAGATAATCCCGGTAATGGGCTATCTTATTGTTATCTGATGGATATTATAATTACCTAAGTACCCTTATTTACTTTAAATAGTTAGTTTATTTTGTAATGTTATTGATGTTTTCTTAAGTACTTTGTTTTGTTAAATTATTTCGTATATATATTGGATACCGAATTGTAAATAGTCACATTTGAAAAAGAAGTTGTACTTCGAAACATATGTCATGTTAGTGTTTTTTTAAAAAAAAAATTTTATTTTTAAAATAAAAGTGTGAAAATCTACCAAATTTGGTTTTACTCTTTCAAAAAAACTACAAATAACATTATTTCGCATCACTTACTGGTGCCGGAACTGTATCGATTTACAAGTAATTTCGCGAAAAACATTCAAGATGCAAGACTCATGCACATCTGTGAGATGACTGAAGTGAAGACTGAAACACTAAAAGCAAAGCGATGCATCTAATTGTGAGGTACGCATTGTTGCCAAGTTGCATCAACAACTAAGTGTGGTTTGCACAATAGTAATTAATTGTAAATCGGGACAAACCCATCGACCGGTCGGGACACCGGGACATATCTTTGAAATCGGGACTGTCCCGGCCAAATCGGGACGTATGGTAAGCCTAACGTTACATAAAATAACTGACTTAGCCTGCTATAAGGCGATACAGGCATTTTTGCATAGTAGCCTACAGTATACAACATAATCCTAGCTGACCTGGATTTCGTTTCTTGTTTATAGTGTAGAAAATTATGGATAATACGTGAGCAAATTTTTTAAAACATATACAAGGTAGTTCGTAACATGACTCAAGAAATAAATTGGCAAAATTAATA